TCTTAGAGTTAATTCATTCGCATATATGTGAATTAAATGAAATGCTAACTAGAGGTGGAAATATGTATTTTATTACCTTTATTGATGATTTCACTAGATTCACTTATGTTTATCTTATGAAGCATAAATATGAGGTCGTTGAGATGTTTAAGGTTTATAAAAGTGAAGTTGAAAATCACCTAAGAAAAAAATATAAAAACCTTGAGAAACGATACAGGTGGAGAATACTTGTCTAGTGATTCTAATATATTTTGTGAACAATATGATATTATTCACCAAAGTTCTGCACTTAGGACACTCGAACAAAATAGTTTGGTTGAAATGAAAAATAGAACATTAGTTGAAATGACTAATGCTATGCTTACATATGCTAAGTTGCCATTTAACTTTTGGAGTGAAGTTTTATTGAATGTATGTAGGATATTAAATATGATTCTTTTGAAATTTACTAAAGTTTCTTCTTATGAATTATGGAAATGGAGGAAACCGAACATTTGATACTTCAAAGTGTGGGGGTATCTTACTTATTACAAGAACATGAACCCTAATAAGACCAAGTTGGGTCCAAAAGACATTAAATGTGCCTTTGTAGGATATACTAATAATAGCAGATCTTACAGATTGTTGAATTTGGAGGCCAATGTGATTATTGAATCAAGTGATGTGCAGTTCTTCGAGGATTCGTTATCTTCAGATAATGAATTGAAGGAAATTCATAAAGATATCCCTAGCTCAAGTGGAACACAAAATGAAACATTTTCTAAAGACGTCGATGAATCTAGTAACCACGAAGAAGCAAAAGAACTCAGATTGTAAGGTTCTTGGGATCGGATGAAATTGATTATCAACCTATTTCCTTTTACTTGGTAGAGGGAAATGAGGTGAATGTTGGAAAAACAATTCTCTTTGTTCTACAAGTTGAAACTGACCATAAAACTTATAAAGAAGCTATAGATTCACGTGATAGCATCTTCGGAAATATGCTATTAAAGACGAAATGGATTCGATACTGTCAAATAATACTTGGGAGCTTGTTGATTTGCCACCCGAGTCCAAACCTATTGGATGTAAATGGGTGTTTAGGAGAAAGTATAACGTTGATGATTCTCTTAATACCTTTAAGACTAGATTAGTATGCAAATGTTATCGAAAAAAGGAAGAAATCAACTATTTTGACACCTATGCACCGATAGCTAAAATAATGTCGATAAGGATATTATATGCACTAGCTTCTATATATGACTTGCATGTTCATCAAATAGATGTCAAGACGATATTCTTGAATGGTGATTTCGATAACGAGGTCTATATGGAGCAACCCGAAGGATTTTTTCTACGTTGAAATGAACACAAGGTGTGCAAGTTAGTGAAATCGTTATACATGTTGAAGCAGGCACCTAAGAAATGACATGAAAAGTTTGACTTAACTATAATATCTTTTGGTTTTAAACATAATAGCCTAGATAAATATTTGTATTCTAAATTATGAGATAATTATGTAATTTTTATCTGCTTATATGTTGACGACATGTTGAATATGAGTAATCACATGGACAAGATATAAGAAACAAAGAGGTTTCTATCTTCCACATTCAAGATGAAGGATTTTGGACAAGTGAATACCATTTTGGATATCAAAGTCTCTAAAAGACTAGTGGGGGTTATCATCTTAGTCAATCACATTATATTGAGAATGTGACTAACAAGTTCAAGTAGTTGAATGTTAAAGAATATAGTACCCCAATTGATCCAAGTTTGAAACTAATAAAGAATGATATAAAGGCTATTACTCAATTGGAGTATGCAAGTGCTATCGGTAGTCTTATGTATGCAGTTCAATGCACAAGACCGGGCATAGCCTATGTAATAAGTAAACTTAGTTGGTTTACTGGCAATCCGAACAATGATCATTGGAAGGCTATTGGGAGAGTTCTTGGATACTTAAAGAAAATCAAGAACTTGGGTCTTCAATATACAAAATTCCCGGCTGTGTTGGAAGGATTTACTGATGTTAGTTGGATATCTAGCACCGGTGAAAGTAAATCCACTTCGGGTTGGTGTTTACACTTGGAGGAGGGGTTGTTTCTTGGAAATCAAAGAAGCAGACATGTATAACACACTCAACTATGGAATCTGAATTTATTGCACTATCGAAAATCGGGAAGGAAGTTGAGTGGTTTAAGGATCTCCTATATGAGATACCTTTGGGACTGAAGATAACATCTTCTATACTTATCGTGTGTGATAGTCAATCCATGTTAGCAAAATCATACAATGAGGTATACAATTGAAAGTCTAGACATATGAGTCTAAGACACGACTACGTAAGGAAATTAATCAAGAGTGAAATAATTTCCCTAAATTATGTAAAGTTGATTGAGAACTTGGTGGATCCTCTAACTAAACCTCTAAATAGAGATTTAGTAAATTCTACTTCAAGTAGGATGGGGTTGAAACTCTTGAACGAAAAAGGTCAACCAATGATGACAACCCTACCTGTCATTACTCAAAATGTAATCCACGGGTTCAAAGGGTAATAATAAGTCATTTGATATGTAGATAGTTTCAGAACTATTGATATTGACGATAACCATATCCTAGTTATAATAATGCTGGTTGTTACTGAAGTGAGTGATGAGTTTTAAACTCTTAATGAAATTCAATACTAAATATAAGTATTTTTAAAAGTAACAAAGATACTAAAAGAATTTCATTTAAACAAATTTCGAGGTGGTGCCGCCTCAATAGAGAGTTAGAGTTTCTCTCTTAAAAGATTGTTGAAAATGATGAGTGCAATGTTATAATAATGCTAAGCGAGTTTGAGAAACTTGAGAACACATGATACTCATGTGTGTGTTCTTATCGGTATTGTCACATGGAATAACTGGTTCAAAGCTTCATGATACCTTTGATTCTGACTTTACTTTGTTTGAATTACACTATGGTTAGATTTAAATCAAAAGATATCTAATCCTTACGCATGAGTATTATATATCTTTGAAATGAGACTTTATTGGATTTTGAACAAGTAGGGGATTGTTGAGAAATTATGTTAAAACCCAATAAAGTATGTGTGGAATGAAAGAGGAGAAAAACGGTCAATTTGTGGCCCATGCAACCACATTGGCCGAATGGCCTACGCGGTCGCATGGCCATCAACAGGGATTCAAGCCCCTGTTTCAAGTTCCTCTATGCGACCGCATAGAGAAATTTTTTGGACTGTTGGAGGCCTTTTTGATCGTATATTTTTTGAATTTGATGGTTTTTCACTCAAATTTTGGCACTATTTCGTGCTTCTGGTCAAGGCTTATATATAGGGGATCCAAATTCAATGCAAAAATGTATGAAAACACTTGAGATCCATATATCATTCCAAAATCAAAGATCAAAAACTGATTCTTCATTATATTCAGAATTTTCATTTATGTTCTTCAAGTTTTGGGGATAATACTTTATGCTTGAGTGTTTAATCCTTACAAGGCTTATGTAATCCTTCAAATCATTTGCCGGAAAACCTTCAAGCATCATTTTCAATCGGTGAGGGGAGAAATATAGTTTGAGGACAACGATTACGCGTCCAAGCCTTCAGGTTTGATTGTGTTCTGTTCATCTTGTTGCTGATTTTCTAGTTTGTTTATTCTCCAACTCCGATGCATCTCCAACAAAAAGTGCTAGCACTTGCAAATTTACAAATATCTTGTTTCTATCAAGTTAACTTGATTACCTCTATTTAAGGTGATTCAGATAATGTTTTTCCTTCTTTGATAATTAGCTGATTATTTCGAGTAAATAGAAGTAAATAAACTGATTTCAATTAAGATATTTTTTTTTCTTTTTCTAATTATTTTATGTGTCACTCCATAAATAAAATAGGGATACTAAATTGCCGTGACTTGCCCTGCTTTGCCTCAAACATTGTCTCATTCTTACATTTTTAAATAATTTTAGAAGCTCCTGTTTGGCTCCCATTAAATTAAATTACATTATATTACATTAAATTTTTCTCTCTCTTTATTACAACTACACATTTATCAAATAAAATAATATTACACACAAATCTAAAACTTTTCATTACTTTTCCACCACACCTTCTCCCATCAATCACTATTTCTAAAATTTTCAACTATCAAAAAGGCCAAATAATAGGAGCCAAACAGGGGTGAAATAATAAATAATTAAATAGACGAAAAATAGAATATTTTAACCACAAAAAAACCTCCGCCATGACGACGAACATACTCTCCTCGACAATATAGGGGTTGGAGAGAACCGACTAGTTCCATTGACATCTCCCACATAAATTTACAAGACATATATTGCAAAAATTCATTTCTTTCCTTTTGCCTAGTTTCTTTTCTTTTCTTTTCCATTTTTTTTTATTTTAATTTTTACCTCTTTTGGAACTTTTGTAAATACCTAACAATATTACTGCCTAGCAAATATTCTTCTTCTTCTTCTTCTTCTTCATTCCGCTGCTACTACTAATCCCACTCTTTAATCCACTATCCACCTCACTCCATAATTCCGCCCCCTCTCTTAGATGCGTCGAAATCCTCCATTCTCTCTAATATTTCAACTATACAATGTGTATAAATGTATAGATTTATAGACATGCAGAAAATTACGTTTCTCCAAGAAATTGTGTGCGTGCAGTAATTGTGAATTTAGTTTTTTGAACGATTTCATGGTATTGCGGATTTATTTTTGTTTTGGTAATCATTTTTACTGCAAGTTATAAATTCACTATCAACTTACAGTACTCTGTTTCCATGTACAGTATGAAGTTACATATGTTTTGTGTGTGTGTGTGTGTGTCTCTCTCTCTCTCTCTCTGAATACGAGATTTCTGCACAATCGCGCACGCACTAGTTGCATTATAGATGAAGATTTTAACACTTAAATTGGGCTTGTGCTTGACGATTGCAATTAAACTATGTACGGATACTTTTCTTGATTTTCACATATTCAGTGATGCGAAGCTTCATGATGGTTTTAGTACTATGGGTTTACCTTTTACTTCTATTAGTTTTGATATCAATGAATATGATTTACGTTCAGGGAAACTTGGGAATTTCATCTTGTGGGTTTACAAGATCAATTTACTTCTCTTTCTATTTCTTGACAAAAGAATGGCTAAACTTTGTACAATTGCGTCTCTGATTACATTTTTCTTCTGGGCAATTCTGGCATTCCCAGCTTTGGCCTCCACGGACAAATCCGATGGTGCGCGTTTAACCCAATTTTTTATTATTTTATCGTCTGTGTTGTTCTTGAATGCTCTGGATAATGGCTTTTGTGCATTCATTGAACTTCCTTTTTATCATTTTCAGTTTATTGTTGATATTTTCTTGAATTTATTCATATTTGTTCTGGCATGAATCGTTTTTTGGTGATGGGTGGCTGTTATCGACAACCAGAATTTTGAGTAAGAAATAAAAAAAAAAAAATTTTTACAAAATGTGATTAAGCTTAACAAGAAAAGGTGCCCGAATGACTAAAAATCAAACAAAGTATAAAATTTAGGGTGGCCTCAGCATAGTTTTCCAGTATAATAGATATTGCAGGATTTGCTGGATGTTTGATTGTCATTGCTATGCAGAGTTCTGATTGATTGTTTAACTCAGTTTCAAGAAATAATCATCTAACTTACATTATGCAGTCCAAGCTCTTAGAGATTTGTTCAGGTCCCTGGATAGCCCACCGCAGCTGAAGGAATGGAAATTGGATGGTGGAGATCCTTGCGAAGAATCATGGACTGGAGTTTTGTGCTTTGGATCATCAGTAATCCACCTGTAATTTCCCTTAACTGTAGATTATCAGATATGCACCTAAATCAGTTTTACCTGATTGTGCTAATATTAAATGAATTACCTTTTCTTTACTTTTAACCAGTAAACTCCATGGCCTAGAGCTCACTGGAACTCTTGGATTTGACCTCTCTAATCTACGAAGTTTGAAGCAGATGTAAGTAAATTCTGATTAATTACGTTGCTTACTTCAGCATATAGTCCCTACCTTGTCTGCTTACCACTTCTTTGCATTTATTTCTACTAGGGACCTTAGTTCAAATCACATTCATGGAGATATCCCCTATTTCGTACTTCCTAATATCACACAGCTGTAAGATAGCCCTATTTTCTGATTATAGTTTACAAACTAACCTCAATTATACATGCTATTATAAAAACAGTTATATGCCCTTTTATCTTTGATAAATACAGGAACTTGTCAGGGAATAACTTTAGCCAAAGCATTCCATACTCATTAGTTTACATGAAACATCTCCAGCATCTGTAAGAAGCTTTTTTCTTACTTCTAAGTTTGGTTTTCTTCTACAATTGCTATTTTTTTAGTTATTATTAAGTTGGGTTCGTTACCAAGCAAAATTGTATTCCTGCAGGAATTTGAGCCACAACACGTTATCTGGACCCTTAGGAGATGTGTTCAATGGCCTGGAGAATCTAAAAGAAATGTAAGATATTTTCCAGTCTGAACATGAAGTGTAGAATACTTGAAATCTTCTTGTATGTGCAATTGATGTTAACTAGGGCTCATCAGATATGCATATCTCTTGGCCTTTAATGATTGTTATCTTCCCTTGTGAAATTTAATACCAGACCCTTTAGGAAGGTTTTGCTTTATTCTCATTCCAAGTTAACAGTGATTGGATTTTTCTCAAGTCCAAAATCTTGTTCTAGTCTCTTGAATTTGACTACCATTTATCAAATTCAGAATTTAAGATTACATTCATTACAGACCAGATGAAAAATTGATTTGTTGTGTTACGATTAAATTACTGGCACCAGTTAAAGACACGGAAAACCAAGATACAAGAACTTCTAATTTGTTGCCTACATTGCTTAAGTTCCTCACATGATATTCAGATCTGAGCTATTGGTTTATAGCTGTGAATTCTGAAAATTACGTTCCGCTTTTCCAGGGATATATCTTTCAATAACTTCACTGGAGATCTACCTACCTCATTCAGAACTTTGACAAACCTTACAAGATTGTGAGTTCTTGTTTCTGATTAACCATGACATGGATTGTCAGTTCCCAACTACAAGATTATAACTTAAGCATTGCAGGTTCTTGCAGGGAAATAAGTTTACTGGATCAGTAACATTCTTAGCCGATCTCCCACTATCTGATTTGTATGTTTACTCCTGATAGTTATAAACTTAGTCCAAACCTATGTTTTTGTTACTGTAGTCAGTACCCACTGTATCCACTTTCAGGAATATAGAAGATAACCATTTCAGTGGTCTTATTCCAGAAAACTTTCGAGCCATACAAAACTTGTGGTAAGCTATGAGTCATCCGTGTAATTTATTTTTTCGGTTCTCTAGCAAATAAAATCTATTAATTTCTCTTACTCTTTGCCTCTTCATCTCTTTTCAGGATTGGGGGAAATAGGTTCAACAACAACGGACCAAACTATCCCCCCTGGAATTTTCCTTTCGACACTTCACATGACAAGCAGAATATTACTAGTCCACCATCTACAAATTTGACTGCCATTGAGAGCTATCCTTCTCACAATGTAGGACGGCACAAGAAGAAAGGGCTGGGTGCAGCTGGGATTGTTCTGATAATTGGAGGAGGCACTCTGGTTGCTGCATGCGCAGCTCTTTTCTTCTTGATTCGCATTCATCGATCTCATAGGGAAATCCTCAAAAGCTTAGGTAGCAGTAGAGGTTCAACGAGATCCCCACCAGTTAGCATAGTCAGAGGTGCCATGCATTGCTATGGATACATGACAAGAATATTACTTTCAGTCTGTTTTCCCAGCAATAACTCACATATTTAGTTATTAACTACAACTTTGAATCTGTATGCAGTATTTATCATTTTGATTTTCCTTTTTCTTCACCCCTTTTGATTTGATTTATGCCAGAACAGATCATTCGCCCATGACTGCAGAGTATAGCACACACGTATCATCTTTCAGTTCCCCTCCAATGATTACACCCTCTCATTTGCCCCCTGTACGTTCCAAAATGATGAAAGTATCTAAAAGAAAAAGCTTCTCAAAGAACAAAATGTCAATGGGTGCAAAAATTTACTCCCTGTCGGAGCTTCAATCAGTAACAAACAGCTTCAGTGAAGGAAACCTTCTTGGAGAGGGATCCATTGGTTATGTTCACAGAGCAGAGTTTCCAGATGGAATGGTACTACCTTGAACTATACAATGCAAGAGTCAGAACTTTTTAAGCCTCGTATAACCGAAATTTCTGAATTTTGCTTTCCATTTGCTAGATTGTGGCCGTGAAAAGCATTAATACGGTACCTCTGTCCATCATTGAAGAAGAAGAATTCCTAGATGTGATTCGGAATGCATCCCGATTGAGGCACTCAAACATAGTGACACTTCTTGGATACTGCATGGAGCATGGTCAACATCTCCTTGTGTATGAATATATCAGGAATTTTTCTCTTGACAAGGCCTTGCACTGTATCACATATAAGCCACTATCCTGGGGCTTGCGTGTTCGAATAGCTCTTGGTGTAGCTCAAGCTTTAAAGTAAGTGTTAGTCGTTGTTGAACCACCTCATACAAAAGCTTGATCTTTCAGATACAAAAATTTTATCTTCAACATAGCCGAAATCCATTTTTTAATTAACGACCATTAGTGTGCATAATTTTCTTAACTAGGTGGCAGTGGCTCTTATCCCATGTTGAACAATCTTATCCAAAAGTTCAAACTTTTAGAGAGACAAAAATTTTATTTAATTAGAATTGTCTTCATCAATTAGGCCTCTCGTATTGGCTATTTTTTTTTTTTCTTGCCTAATCCTGTAGGATTTATGGACATATACATTATGCTATCCTAGCAAGTGATGGCTATTTATTCTCTCCTTTTTCTGTGAAATTTCAGTTACATGCATTCCTCCTGCATGCCTCCCATTGCCCACAGCAATTTGAAGGCTGCTAACATCCTACTCGACGAAGAGCTCATGCCCCGTGTTTGTGACTGCGGTCTGGCTATCCTGAGAACCCTGACCAGCTACAATGTTAAGCTTAAGGTATATATTACCAGGTTAATTTGTATTATATTCTTTTAGAGTTATTTCCAGAATTTTATTTTTGACAATTATAAGCATTGCGTCTCTTCAAAACCGAACATCATACAGGCTTCTGAAATGGCTATTGCTGATGGTGGCTACATCGCACCTGAACATTTCCAAACTATCCAACCTGGGATAGCTAACACAAAGGCTGATGTGTACGCATTTGGAGTGCTGCTTTTAGAGCTTCTAACGGGAAGGAGGCCTTTCGATTGGTACAGAGTCTATTAGTACATTCTTTTGCCTTTTCTTTATTCTAGAATCTACTCGGTCTTAATTTCCTGAATAACAACATTTCTCTCAATTTCTAGTTCAAGACCACAATCAGAGCAATCCTTGGTGAAATGGGCTTCATTCAGGCTTCATGACAGCGAGTCTTTAGGACAGATGGTCGATCCAGTCATGACCGGAACATTTTCTTCCAAGTCTCTGTCACGTTTTGCTGATATTGTCTCCCTCTGTATTCAGGTAACTAGCATGACATCGAACATTCTGAAATCCACTGGTAAGCATATTTTGGGATTGACAGACTACACGGGCTTGACGAAATGACTTTCTCGAATTCTTGGGCTTTTTAACTGAAATTGTTTTATATTTTCATACACAAAAAGACACATCATTGCTATTGATTTGAAGACATGATTTTGTGTGTTTCTATCTGTTTGAAATGCATCAGCCTGAGCAGGAATTCCGTCCCACAATGTCTGAAATCGCGGAGTCTCTGGCGTGTATGCTGCACAAGCCTGGTACAGCAGATGGTGCTGAAGTTGACCCCTTCGACCGATCATTCCGTTCTACCAACACCCTATTCTCTGGCTTGCCAACTCTGAGCTGCTACTCCGTCTGAATCTGCTAAAGGTTGATTATACAACACCGAGATGGGCTTTTTTCAGTGTCACATGTTCTAGTTCCTTATCATTCCTGCACTGAACAGTTAATTCCGGTTTTTGAGTGAAAGTAAGATTGAGTTTGGATTTGACATATTAACTTGTAGAATTATGCTTGTGGTACATTTCTTGTTGACATTGAGTTTGACATCCCCCTTATGTGTATGAAATTTGGCCATTGATTGAAAAAAATATGATTAAAATTAATGTACAAAAATCTGCCAACTCACGTGATGTCAAACTTGATATACATGTAAGGGTGGACCCCTTAAGGGCCCAGTGGGGGCGGTTGGGCAAAAAAAAAAATGGCCTTCTATGTTCCCACTGGGCCAAAAAAAAAAATTTCCTTAAAAAAAAAAAGGAAGCCCACCCAACTACCAAGCCCGTCTTTTGAAATAAGCCCAATTCCCAATCCCTTTTCCCCCCAATTCTTCCCTTACGTTTCCAATTCAAATCATTTTCATTCCCCAAATTATCCCGACTGAAGATCGGCGACTGGCGTGTTCTCCAATTCTTCCCGGTGGGCGTTCGCACTTCGCAATACAAGTCAAGCCTTTGGCGACCTTCGGAGTTCGGAATTGGCTACTGCTGCTGCTCAATTCATTTCTCCCCTGCATCAATTCACGAGAGTCCGAGACACTTAGAACTTAGACACGAGGTATAATTTAGTCAATGCAAGTTTCTTGAATAGTCCGAGCAGAATATGTTTTAAATTTCTGTTTGCACTTAATCTGAAATTGATATCGATGAAAGGAATATTGGACATGGATCGAACTTTTGCGAGGATTGCTTGTTGAAGTCAAGTTCTCTAGACATGATAAATCTTGATGCACTTTTAAGAGAATTTAGATTTTAAGAAAAACAAGGGTTGTGATTGGCTTTATTAACAAGGTTGAGTAGGGGATTCTCCTTCAGTATGCATAAGTGAGGAGGATAGTGTTCGGGTGAATGTGAATCAATTCCTTATTTTAGAGTTAGCAACGGTTCAAGTGGATATCAACCTAATGACTATGGTGTGAAGTTGTGGAGCCTTATCTATTGTCTTTTGCGAGTGGATTTATAAAAAGAAAGTAGATTTTAAATGTTTTCCTCTCTGCTGAAGCTTGAAGGAAGCAGGAAGCTAGATAACCTTATTGTATTTGTATAATATTAATGCCATTGAAATCCAGTTGTGGGAAAATAAATTGAAGCTACTAATGACTAATGATCAGCATTGTTATCTCACCTTTGCCATTTCACTAATGGTATATTTATGCATTCTTTGTTTGATTTGTAGGAAGATATGTTGAGATTTGTTAAACGAATATCTCAAAATTCTATTGAAGAAAATGTTGAGGCAAATGAAAAACACATTGATGAAATTTCTATTGAAGAAAATGTCGGGAAAGGAAGCAAG